TCCACGCCACGGATCAGCCTGACTGCTGCGTCCTGACGATCTGCAATCGCGTCAGAACGCCAATTGTGGGACTGCAGCACCGCGAGTCAACATGACTGCTGGGCCCGCATAACTTTGAATCCTTCCAAAACGCCGTTTCTGCTACGTAACACTACTACACTACACTCCCGCGCGTGGGCACCGTCAAGGGTGCTGCGGGTGTGGCGCCGGAGCGCCGCTCAGCGTGGCGATCTTCACAGCATGGAAAATCTCAGAGGAGGAGGACAAGGAGGAGGAGGAGATGAGAGGCTATCCGCTTGGCCCGCTCAATGGTGGTGTCGGACGTTGGTCATGGGAACCCGTGAAACTCTAGCAAATTGTGTAAACGAATGTGCGCGGCGCTGAGGCGAGAGCCACATGTTGAAAAAGAACCGCCCTCAATCCGCGAAGCTCTTCCAATGTTTAACACGAATGCGCGCGGCGCTAAGGCGAGAACCACATGTTGAAAACGACCCGCCCTCAATCCGCGAAACTCTTGCAATTTCATAAAACGAGTGCGCGCGGCGCTAAATCAATAACCACACTACAAAAACGGCCCGCCCTCAATCCGTGAAACTCTTGCATTTGTATCACGAACGTGCTCGGCGCTAAAGCGACCACATGTTTAAAACGACCCGCCCTCATTCCGTGAAATTTTTGCAATTGTTTACACACGACTGCGCGCGCCGCTAGGGCAAGAACCACAGTTTGAAAAACCCGCCCTCAATCCGCGAAGCTCTTGCATTTGTTTAAAACGAATGTGCGCGGCGCTAGGGCGAGAGCCACATTGGACGAGGAGCAGGAGGAGGAGGAGGAGGAGGAGGAGGAGGAGGAGGAACGGGGGGGTGACGAGGAGGAGGAGGAGGGGAGCGATGAGGAAGAGCAGAGGGAGGACTGGAGGAGCAGGAGGAAGGCGGCCACCAGAACACAAGGACCCTCCGAGGACCCCCGAAGGGCTGTCCGAAGGCTTCCTGCTGCCCGCTCGCCCCCGAGCCGCCCGAGGTCCTTTGTGCCTCTTGGCCCTCGGCACGCCGTCGGCGTCGGCGGAGGGCTCGGCGGGAGCCGCCACGCCTCCCGGCGCCGGCCCGCGCCGGGCCACGCGGGGAAGGCTCCCCGCGGCCATCGCGGGGCTCTCCCCGAGGTGGGAGCAGGGGGGGCGCGAAGAGGGAGGGCGAGCAAGAGATGAGGAGGCAGGTCCTGGGAGGTCTTCGTCGGAGGGATTGCCTCGGAGGATGAGGCCCCACTGGGGGGCTGCCAATTACAACGGAGAGGGCCGCGGATTGAGCGGGATGCAGCGGGCTTCGGCCGGATTGCGCGGGATCAAGCCAGACAAGCCAGATGTCGGACCAGGGCAAAGTCAGAACTCGACCTCCCAGGAGCTGCATCCGAAAGGAGGGAGGAGGGAGGACGAGGAGCACGTGTCGTTCATTTCTGTTCGTGCTCATTTCAAATTGTGTTCGTGTATAATTGTTCCTGGCCCCCCCAGTGGCCAGGAAGAGGCCCAGGATAGAACAATCAGACATGAAAAGATCTTGGCCCCCACAAACTCTAAGCACTTCCGAAGAAGTAGACATGAATAAGGTGTACGATATGGGTCGGTCCTGAAGGCGAGGCCGGGCCGCAGCAAGGAGCAGCGCGCGCCGCCCGTGCACGCGGGGGGTCTCCCCGCACCGGGCGCCAGGACGACCGGGACCCCCCCGCGAGAGCGCAGCCCGTCCCCCGCCCCGGCACTGCCGCGGGCCAGTTTACCGGCCTCGAACGTATCCCTATATCCCTAAGGTTGACACGCCACAAGGCGATGACAATCTTAGGGATCCGCCCTCAAAAAATCAGGGAATCCCTAAGATTGGCATCGTGATGAGGAGGTGCCCAGCATAGGGATAGGGATATGTTCCAGGCTGGTAACCAGTGGCGGAGCCGACTGGGCCGCGGAGCTGCCGCGCGGCCGCCGACGGGACCGCGCCTCGCGCACGGTTCGTCGCCGAGCCGGGGAGGGAGGAGGAGGGACGGAAGGCGAGGAAAACGGAGCAGCAGGTGGGAGGAAGGATGGAGGCAGGAGGGAGGGGGGACAGCACGTCCTGGTCGAGTGTATAAACGGCATCTGTTGTGCTGGTCTCAACCGCCGGCATCCTCCACCGTGCCGCGAGGCACTGCGTGGAGCGCCCGCGAGTCCCCCCAAAAATCCGCAATCCTCAACTGCGAGTGCTCCAGATGCATTGTCCTGGGCCTGAAGGCCCAATTGCTGGATTCGCTGGGGGGTGTCGCGTTTGGGGCTCCTCAGGGTCCCCCCAAGAGCGAGGAGGCCCCCAGGAGGCCCCAAGAGGCGTCCAATAGGCGTGTGTTGCCTCCTCCTCATCCTCCTTGTCCTCTCCTCCTCCTTTGCCTCCCTCTTCTCCTCCTCCTCCTCCTCCTTCTCCTCCTCCTCCTCCTCGTCATTCTCCTCCTCCTCCTCCTCCACCTCCTCCTCCTCCTCCACCTCCTCCTTCTCCTCCTCATCACTATCATTATCCTGTTCCTCCTCCTCCTCCTCCTGATCCTCCTCCTCCCTCTCATCCTCTCTCTTCCTCCCACAAGAATTCCCCAAAGGCATTCCACAACGGATGAGGGGGGCACTTAGTCCCATAGCTTGTCAGTACTTCAGCCCAACATGTAGCCACAATTGGCGTTTGTAACAGGCAGTGGGTGGCGGTGGTTCGCCGGTGGTGCCTTCAATATACATGTCACTTTTAACTGATCGGTAAACTTAGCGGACAGGTCACCTCTACACCGCAGACTCACTGCGCCCTGCAATGGCATCAACCTTTCTGTAGGTGGTTCCTGCGTGACGGGATTCACGTGTGATGTCACACGCAGTGTACAAATGGCAATCCTGGATCTTGTTCTGAAACCAATACGAACATCCAGATGTGATGTCGCATCGCGCTGCGCACGCACTGCAGTAACCAAGGTCCGCTCCACACATTCTCCTTGAGAACGGGAAGATCTCAGTTTTGCATGTTCTTCGGGTGCCCTCAAAAAGCACGGCGTAGGCGCCATCACTAGCCGCGGCGAGGGACGCCACCAATGCTGGCGAGGAGGGGGCGACTGTCACGTCTAAGAGACTGGGCGCACCCCCTGCTCTTTCCACCGCGGGCCCCGCCAGCACGGTACCAACCACAGAGGCCCCGACAGCCGACGACTGCGACACCGTAGAATTGAGGGCGAGATCCGGGTGCACCTGCCCCTCGCCTCGCAGGGTCAGCCCACCGCTCGACAACCACCACATGGCCAGAGTGCCCCCAGCTCCAACGACGGAGACCTCGAGCAAGAGCGCTCGCCGGCTCCGTCCACATCTGGCTGGTCTCGTCGCCATCAGCCCGGACTTTGGCGGACAGAGCTGCCCCTGAACCAAAAATGATCACGGACGTAAGGGGACATCAAGATGTGGGACATGTCTGACTACCTACCAGACCACCCCAAACCCAACCCGCAGACTCGAACTTGACCCGAATTTCTGGTTGGGGGGGGGGAAACGGACTCCATGTGGTTTTTGTCAACGTTTCCCGGCCCCCCCCACTGGAAATGGAGGGCAACTTGAGGGCTTCGGGTTGGGTTGGGGTGGTTTGGTGGGTGGTGAATGTCTTGCGGTGGTGGCACAAAGTGCGATTCCAACGGCCAGGCTCTGGCCAGTGCTCGTGAACACCACGCTGCGCCTGCGGATGTCACCACCTGGGACACACAAATAAATAGACACAACTAACAGGATTCCCCACATGTTCCCATATGTTCTGGGTTTTCGTCTTCCCCCCCACTTCCCATATTCCTATATCTTCCGAAGGGTCGACGATTGATTGTGTCTGCGTGTTTGTTTTCCCCTCCTGAAAATTATGGAACCTCACCGTAGCACCATAGCCAGCCAGAGCCACCACGAGCCTGCGAGCATCACGACCATTGGCAAGCACAACAGCGTGCGCGCGAGCACGCACGAGAAACTCTGCGCGCTCACGATGCACCTCCAGCACGCGCGTGAACGACTTCACGCTCTGCCCGCAGCTCTTTCTTCTCCGCCTCTCTCCTCTGCCCGGCCCCTCTTGTGCCGCAAGTTGTTTCGTGGACGCCCCTTTTCGACGCTTGACCGGTACCTGCCTCGCAGGTGCCCGCCGATCAAAAAGATGCACAACGGTATGCTCGAGCTTGCCATTTCCACATCCATCGGGGGGCTCCACACCAAGTCGCTGGGCACCACGATCACCTGCTGACACCGCAAAGGGCCTACGAACGCCACGGTGCGCGTGGGGATAACAAGAGCAACGGACATATGCACAGAATGTGTCCAGACCCTGCCAGTAGCACACGAGCCGACGAACGCCACAATAGACCTGCGAACACCGAAAAGAACTAGTGAACACCGCGACGTGCCTGTGAGCGCCACGCGCGTGCGTACAGCAGACAATCTAAATACCACCACTGTACTTACGTACGCCCGCTCATGATGATCTCCCTTTCGCGTCCCTCACATTCCTCAGCATCCTCCTCCTATTTTGGAGGCAAATGCTGGGAGGTCTTCGTCGGAAGGATCCGGGAGAATTAAGCCCCATTGGGGGGCTACTACGAAAAATCAGGCCGCGTATTAGACGGGACTCAGTGGGATTCAGCCGGGTTAAGCGGGATTCAGCCGGACTGAGCAAGATCTCGGAGCAGAGCAAAGTCAGAATTGGACCTCCCAGGAGTTGCATCCTCCTCCGATTTGCCCATTGTCAACGCTCGAGCGGCCTGCCTGCGCACACCGCAGCGCGCCCGCGAACGCCACAAGGCGCTCGGCGGCAGCCAAACGGCGACGGACGCCCGACCGCGCCAATACCCACAGGAGCATGCGACCGCCGCACGCATGCGCAACCTGGCCATCGCTCGGACGTCCATTCCCTGTGCTTTCTTCGGTTTCGTGCGTGGGATTTTTCGCCAAGTGATCCAGGATGCTCCTCGATGGCCCTCGCCGAGAAAAAATGCACACGTCCGAGCGATGCCAGGCAACAGCATGCCGGACCCTGCCAGTGCAACCCTCTTGGGCCGTTGGCCGCCTTCCCATTCTTTCCCAACCATCCTGCGGGGGTGGGTCCTCGCTTTGAATCCGCAGCGGCCCGCGACACTCCCTCCTCATCTTTTTGGTTGCTCCTCCCCCTCCTCTTCCTCCCCTCCCTCCCCCCTCCCCCCTCCTCCCTCCCCCTCCCCTCCCCCTCCCCCCCTCCTCCCCTCCTCTCTCCTCCCCCACTCCTCCCTCCTCCCTCCTCCTCCCCCTCCTCTCTCCTGCTCTCTCCTCCCCCCTCCCCCCTCCTCCCTCCTCGTCTTCTTCGGCACGCCCTCACGCGCTTCGTGGCCCCATGGGGGAGCTCCACCGACAGCCACAGGGGCAGAGTCCGCATGGCGCCACGGCGCCCACTTCGGCACACCCCTCACAGGCTTCGTGGCTCTTCGCCAAGGAGGCCTCTTGTGGAGTCGCTAAACTCCAGAAGTCGGCGGCGAGCCCGAGGGGAAGTGAAACGGGGCGGGCCTTCTCAGCAGAAGGCTCGGAAGTCCCCTGGCCTTCGGAGAAAGTTTCTAAGCCTCCCCCGAGGACACAGAAGACCTCTCAGAAGGCCGAAGGGCTCCTGGGAAGTCCCGCCGCCATCTGAGAAGGCCTCCTCCTCCTCCTCCTCCTCCTTTTCCTTCCCCCCCCCCCCCCTCGCTCGCCGCCGAGAAGCTCCCGAGGGCAAAAACTGCGGCTCCAGAAGGCAACGAGTGCGGGGGGCGTGCTCTGCGGCTGCAGCGCGCCGCCCGTCCGAAAAAAAACAAGGAAAAAGAGGGCCGAAGCTCCGCAACCCCGCCGGGGGCCTTGCGTTCAAAGCCGGGCCTCGCGTTCAGAGCCGAGGGACCAACACTCGCCATCGCTCGGACGTCCATTCCCCATGCAAGTCTGGCTGTCGTGCGGGTAGTCTTGTTCGCAGGATGGGCCAAGGTGCTCCTCGAGGGCCCTCGCCGGGGAACAGCTGCACGCATCCGAGCAAGAACAAGAACTCTGAATTGTGAGAGAGCACGGAACCTCCCAGGTGCTGGGTGCAGTGTCCTGAGATAGTGAACGTGACACTGGATGAAACCATACACACGAACCGCGGGAAACGATTCAGAACCCCCGCTGTGTTATCGTTAGCATCGAAACGGAAAAGATGATCCGCAGGGGGCGGTTTTAGCGGAGCGGTATCTTTAACACTGCACCAGACCACAGCACATAAATACTGACTGCCCCCGGACCACCCCGCGACCGCAAGTACTCGTCCTGTTTCCTTCCCTCGACTGTACATAGTGCCTCCCACGTCGACCGCAATTTAAGGGGTTCTCACTGCTTCCTCCTCACCGCCCCAACTTCCTGATTTTTTTTTCTTTCTACTCGCCGCCCCTGTCCTGTTATATTCCTCTTTCAATCCCAAGTGAGACATTGATTGTCGTCGGCCGTCCTAGGGGGAGGTCACCCCCAGGTTGTCGCCCCCCCAAGCACGGAGCATTACCTTAGCACCTGGGAACGCCGAATACACTGAATTCCCGCCCGCGACTCAGCAGCCGTAGCTCTTAGCAGTAGCAACAGCAACGCCAACAATAGGTCTAGTAGCAGCAGCCGTAAAACTAGAAGCAGTAGTAGTAGTAGTAGCAGCAGCAGCAGCAGCAGCAGCAGCAGTAGTAGTAGTAGTAGTATTAGTAGCAGTAGTAGTAGTAGTAGTAGCAGTAGTAGTAGTAGTAGTAGTAGTAATAGTAGTAGTAGTAGTGTGGTAGTAGTGGTAGTAGTAGTAGTAGTAGTAGTAGTAGTAGTAGTAGTAGTAGTAGTAGTAGTAGTGGTAGTAGTAGTAGTAGTAGTA